AAAGAATATCCTGTAAAACCTAAAATATTTACTATCAGGACCTTTACATAAAAGTTTGCCTACTCTAGGCTGGGCTGGGTGGCTCATGCCTGTAATCCCAGCATTTTGGGAGGCTGAGGTGGGTGGATCACAAGGTCAGGAGATCGAGACCATCCTGGCCAACATGGTGAAACCCCATCTCTTTAAAAATATATATATATAAAGAAAAAAAATTAAAAAGAAGTTTGCCAACTCTACTATGAATGAATAGAGCCTGAATCAAATAAAAATGACAAGGGTGGGAACGTTCGGTGGGGCTGGGAGGGCTGCACCAAGGTTGTGGGCCCCGGAAAAGAAGGGTGAGGTAACTAACACCTGAGGGAGAACAAAGAATGTGCTGCAAAGAGGAGAGAAAAAGTGCTCCAGGCAGAGGAAATGGCGTGTGCAAAGGCTGGAAATGAAAAAGAGAACTGCACAGTGGTTTTGCTAGGCCGTGGTGTAAAGAGACACAGGTAGGACAACAGTAATGAGACAGGTGGTGTGGACTGAACTCTTAACTCGAGAACAGAGGCTGTGCCAGTCACAGCACACACTTTGAATCAGGACAGGGGATGTCCACCCTAGGGCAGGGATCTGAGTCCTCAGTCAACCCTGTCATCACCCCGAGTGCCAGGGGGTGGCCAAGGCTCAGATTCCGCGCGGCCGTCGTCCCTTCTCCCCGCTCCTCCCTGCAGGGACCCAGACAACTCTCGCCTCCCACGCAGGCCTTACTGGAGTCCATGGGATCGCTGACCGGGGAGAAGCCCAGCGGCAGAGGGCTCTTGTCCACCACGATCTGGATATCGCCCACCACGTTCTCCAGCGGGTTCTGCGGGTGGAAGCGGGACACGGCGAGGGTGGCCCAACAGCAGAGACAGCGCGCCTGGCATAGGGCATCGTGACCCCAGAGGAGGTGGGCGGACCCTGGTGGTCCCGAAGGTGGGCGCCCCCTACCTCTAGGCTGCCCAGAGTACTAAGGCACAGGAAGTAGCCAGATTTCTGCGCGAAGCTCTTGCCAAAGTTAGCGGGTGCCCCCTCGACGGTGCAGGAGATCTACGGGGAGGATGCGGGTCAGCGCCGGACACCCACCCACCCCACAGCGGCTGCCTCTGCCCCCATTCGACCTCCCGCCCGTCGACGCCGCTCACCGCGCTGAACCCCCGAGGCGGGGGTGCAGAGGCCGATGACCAGGCCAGGCCGGCCAGCGGCGCCGAGTCGGTCCCGGGTACGGGATCCATCCCGCGAGCCGAGCGCCGAAGGCGGGGTCGCGGGGTTCAGCCTCGGTCCTCAGAGCAGCCTCCCGACGGCAGCGCTCGCGACCGAACTACAACTCCCAGAAGGCCATGCGGGGCGGAGCTTGCCCGGAAGCGCAGTATACGCGTGCCCGACGAGCTGCTGGCCAATGGCGTGGGGAGGCGGGGCCTCGCCCTCACGCGTCGCCCACGTGCGCGCGGGAGCGACGATTGCGGAAGGGCTTGCTGGCTTTCCACGCCCAGCAACTTCCGCCGGAAATACTACGACACAGGACCAAGGGACTCGTTCTCTCCGCAGAATAGCTTGCGGCCTCGGTTGCTAGTCTAGAGAAAAGCTCGGTGTTTACCGGAAAAGTTGGGAGATTTGTCAAGAATCTGCAATTCCAGTTCTGGGAAATCATCCCAAAGGAAAATCGTCGTGGGATATGCAGCTATTGATTTAAAGAGCGAAAACTATGGACCATCATGAGCCATGAAATCTTGGGTATAACTTAAAGACTGGTTCACAGGAACAATACGTTTTAAAAAGCGAGGTATAAAAGCATTTACTCCCTGTAGTCCCAGCTACTTGGGATGCCACCAGCAAACCCAGTTCTTTACCCACTTTGTGTAGCTGGCAAAGAAGGAACATCCAATCGGAAAAGGCAATCGGGTTTTACCCACTGGACAGGGATGGAGAAGGAGAAGCTCTCGCTCTAACAGCCCCTTCTCCCTCAACAATAAAAAGCATAACGTAGCCGGGCTCGGTGGTTCAAGCCTGTAATCCCAGCACTTTGGGAGGCCGAGGCGGGTGGATCACCAGGTCAAGAGATCAAGACCATCCTGGTCAACATGGTGAAACCCCGTCTCTACTAAAAACACAAAAATTAGCCGGGCATGGTGGTGCAAAGATGTAATCCCAGCTACTCAGGAGGCTGAGGCAGGAGAATTGCCTGAACCCAGGAGGAGGAGGTTGCGGTGAGCCGAGATCGCGCCATTGCACTCCAGCCTGGGTAACATGAGTGAAACTCCGTCTCAAAAAAAAAAAAAAAAAAAAAAACATAACGTTTTATTATTTCCTTCCCTGAGTACAGGAAGGGAGAGGAATGTTAACATGTGCATGGTGGGACCCGAGACACGCAGGTTCAATTCATGAATATATGTCTTCATACAACCCATGTGCACAAAATGGAGATTTTCTTCTAAGAGAGGGAATTTTACCATTATGATGATAATGTTAGTGATCTAAAGTCAACCAGAGGTCGTCTGTTCCAGTTTGGACCGATTTAGAGGTCTTATCTTCCTCTGGCATCTGGTCAGGGGTCAGGAAGCTCTGTGATGTCATCCCTGGCTGTCTGGAAATCTTTAAGTAGCTGTGCTTTTTTTTTTTTTAATAACTAAAAAAACTTTCCCAGTTATTTTCTCAGGGCTCTCCTGGTAATGGTAACAGGGAGGCTGAGGTGGGAGGATCACTTGAGTCCAGGAGTTTGAATCCCAGCGCTTTGGGAGGCCAAGGTGGGTGGATCACCTGAGGTCAGGAGTTGAAGACCAACATGGCCAACATGATGAAACCTCGTCTCTATAAAAACGCAACAATTAACTAGGTGTGGTGGCCAGCACCTGTAATCCCAGCTACTAGGCGACTGAGGCAGGAGAATCACTTGAACCTGGGAAGCAGAGGTTTCAATGATCCGAGATCGCGCCACTGCACTCCAGCCTGGGTGACAGGGTGAGACTGTCTCAAAAAAAAGAAAGAAAAAAAAATACAAGAAGGATATTGCTAACTATAAGTCTAAAGTAAAGTTTGATGGTACAGAGGGTCCTGCTAAAGTTGTCTGGAAAAAAGTAGAAGAGGAAGATGAAGAAGGGAGAAAAAAACTTTATATGCCAGGCATGATGGCTCACTCCTCATTACTTTGGGAGACCAAGGTGGGTGGAGGTCAGGAGTTCAAGACCAGCCTGGCCAACAATGGTGAAACCCCGTCTCTACTAAAAATACAAAACATTAGCGGGGGATGGTGGTGGGCGCCTGTCGTCTCAGCTACTCTGGAAGCTGAGGCAGGAGAATCGCATGAACCCAGGAGGCGCAGATTGCAGTAAGCCGAGATCATATCACTGCACTCCAGCCTGGGTGGCATAGCGAGACGAGTCCTCAAAAAAAAAGGGAAAGTAGGAAAATACATTGCTAGGAAGACAGTGGGCAGCCAGCAGAAAGAAACTGGCTGTAAAGAAACAAAGGCTTGCTAGAGATTTTACAGGATAGGGTTTATGCTGTCTGCTGAAAAGGACTTTGCGCAGTATTGATAACGCCAAGGATGCAGTGAGCCAACTTGCAGGTTGCAGTGAGCTGTGATTGCACCACTGCACTCGAGCCTGGGCGACAGAGTGAAATGGTGTCTCAAAAAAAACCCCAAAAACCTCACTAAGCTAATAGGGGTTTTTCAAGGGCAGTTCGGGGAACGGGGTGGGGGAGGCCAGATAACAGATGATGGCTGTTTGATCAGTGGTTGGGGCAGAGATGAAATCGTAGGGGGTTGAAACTGACCTCCGGAAGGCTAAATCGCTTTTTGGTGGGGCCACAGGAGCAGGGATGTCTGTTCAGGTGTCGCCATGGGTGTCAGACAGGCAAAAAACTTGCAAAGACTTCTCCAAAGGCCAATCTACAACAGCGGTGTTATTTGCAGGAGTAATTGGGTAAGTTGCGTATCTTACAGCTTCTGGAATAATGACTGCTCTCCTCCCATCAAAAGCAGTTGAGGCCAGGCGTCATGGGTCACGCCTGTAATCCCAGCACTTTGGGAGGCCAAGGCGGTTGGATCACCTGAGGTCAGGAGTTTGAGACCAGCCTGATTAGTATGGTGAAACCCCATCTCTGCAAAGTGTAAAAATTAGCTGGGCATGGTGGCGTACGCCTGTAGTCTCAGTTACTCAGGAGACTGAGACAGATGAATCGCTTGAACCCAGGAGGTGGAGGTTGCAGTGAGCTGAGATCACGCCACTGCACTCCAGCCTGGGTGACAGAGTGAGACTCCGTCTCAAAAAAAAAAAAAAAAAAAAAAAGGCAGTTAAGGCCGGGCACAGTGACACACCTACCTGTTACCCTAACACTTTGGAAGGCCGAGGTGGACAGATCACTTGAGGCCAGGAGTTGGAGACCAGCCTGGCCAACATAGTGAAACCCCATCTGTACTAAAAATTAGCCAGGTGTGGTGGCAGGTGCCAGTAATCCCAGCTACTCCGGAGACTGAGACAGGAGTATTGCTTGAACCAGGGAGGTGGAGGTTGCAGCGAACAAAAATGGTGCCTCTGCACTCCAGCCTGGTCTCATTCTGAATGCAGAATGAGACTCTGTCTCAGAAAAAAAAAAAAAAAAACCAAGTGATTTGAGTTTTTGGCAAGGCCTGTTATCATTTAAACCAGAGCCTAAATGTCTTCCAAAGGTGGCTTGGCCCAAGAGCGCAGGAATAATTACAGGAAAAGTTAGGTGGGTTTGGGTTAGCTTAGCTTACTGTTCTAATTTTCTCACTGATATAACTTTTGCAGTGGTGGTTTCAACAGGTGGGTGCAGGAAGATTGAATTTTTTTTTTTTTTTTTGAGACGGAGTTTCAGTCTTGTTGCCCACTCAGGAGGGCAGTGGCATGATCTCAACCTCTGCCTCCCAGGTTCAAAGGATACTCCTGCCTCAGCCTCCACTGGAATTACAGGCTCCTGCCACCATACCAAGCTAATTTTTGTATTTTTAGTACAGATGGGGTTTCGCTGTGCCACCCAGGCTGGTCTCAAACTCCTGGACTCAAGTGATCCACCAGCCTCTGCCTCCCAAAGTGTGGGATTACAAGCGTGAACCACCCCACTGATCAGGGGAAACATATTAATACTTTGTTTTGAGACGGAGTCTCACTCTCTTGCCCAGGCTGGAGTGCAGTGGCATTATCTCAGCTCACTGCAGCCTCCACCTCCCGGTTGAAGGAATTCTCCTGCCTCAGCCTCCCAAGTAGGCGGGATTATAGGCATGCGCCACCACGTCTGGCTCATTTTTGTATTTTTAGTAGAAACGGGGTTTAACTATGTTGGCCAAGCTGGTCTTCAACTCCTGACCTCAGGTGATCCACCCCCCTCAGCCTCCCAAAGTGCTGGGATTACAGGTGTGAGCCACCACGCCTGGCCAAATTCTGAATTCTTCTTCAGGGGAAGTGAGAGCTTGGGACATAGGCATCCCCTTGGACCCAGTAACCCCACTTCTGGGAGTTCAGTCTAAGGACAGGCTGCAGTCAGGTCCAAAACTTACCAAATGACGAGAGCGAACTCTGACGGGGAGCTGTCATGTACGAAGCGCTAAGCTAAGCCCCTTCCGTATATTGCGTTTTCCTGTCAAAGAAAATAAAAATACGAGAACCTTCCAAAGGCATTATGCCAAGGAAAAGTTATGGCTGTTGTTTGTGTTGGCTTGTTTTTGTTGCTGTTTGTTTTTGAGATGGAGTCTCACCCTCTCGCTGTGATGCAGTGGCTCAGTCTCGGCTCACTGCAACCTCTGCCTCCCGGGTTTAAGCGATTCTCTGCCTCATCCTCCTAAGTATCTAGGACTACAGGCACCCGCCACCATGCCCAGCTAATTTTTGTATTTTTAGTAGAGACGGGGTTTCACCATCTTGGCCAGGATGGTCTTGAACTCCTGACTTTATGATCCACCCACCTCAGCCTCCCAAAGAGCTGAGATTACAGGTGTGAACCACGGTGCCCAGCCCGGTTTGTTTGTTTTTGAGACATGGTCTCATTCTGTTGCCCAGGCTGGTGTGCCATCAAATGAACATGGCTCACTGCATTTTCCACCTCCTGGGCTCAAGGGATCCTCCCACCCAGCCTCCCGAGTAGCAGATCACCTGATGTCGGGAGTTGGAGACCAGCCTGGCCAACATGGTAAAACCCCATCTCTACTAAAAATACAAAAATTAGCAAGATGCAGTGGCTCATGCCTGTCATCCCACCTCTTAGGGAGGCAGAGGCGGGAGGATAGCTTGACTCCAGGAGTTTGAGGCCTGCCTGAGCAATATAGCGAGACCCCATTCTCCACAAAAAGGAAAAAAATTAGCCAGGCATAATGGCGGGTGCTTGCAATCCCAGCTACTCAGGAGGCTGAGGCAGGAGGATCACTTGAACCCAGAGGCTTCAGTCAGCCAAGATCACACCACTGCATTTCAGCCACCACAGACACAGCCAGCACGCCCAGCTCATTTTTAAATATTTTGTTGAGATGTGGGTGGGGGATGGGGTGAGGAGAAACTCACTTTGTTGCTCAGGCTAGTCTTGAACTTTTGGGCTCAAGCGATCCTCCTGCCTCAGCCTCCCGAAGTGCTGGGATTACAGGCATGAGCCACTGAGTTCGTCCCAAAGGGAAAGTTAGGTCTGGAGACTGAGCCGCACAACGCTGACATTCCTTTCCCAAATCCAAGGCTGTTGTTAAGTGTTGTACCTTAATCCAGATGCCTACAAAAAGAAAAAAAAAAAAAAAAAAAAAAAAAAAAAAAGCCCTCACATATCTTCAGATGTTCGCCCTTACGAATTGTTCATACGTAAATTCTTTGCTTAGCCCCTAAATCTTTACAAGATGTCCAGCCTGTCATAAACAAAAATGTGTTGGCAAGACATGTAACTTCAGGTTTGCAAGCTCTATCTGACCCCTTGTCTACGGAACCAGTCTGTTGAATTTCATACTGACAGAACAGATTACAAGTTTACTTTCCCCGGTGCAAAACAAAGACAGGATAACATCCATCAACCCTCCACCAGACCCTGAGAGAGCTGCAAAATTAACCTTTCCTTTCCCTCTCAAATGTTTGCCTTATCTTATATATAGCCATAGTTTCAGTTTCCCTGGGCACCAGTTAAAGTCGGAAGAATGTAACTAATGAGAAATCTCATTGCCTACTCCCTTTTTCTTGTCTTCTGGTTGATGGAGATATTGTTTCAGTCTCTAACTTGCATGAACATTCGAAGAGACTGGGAAACAGCTGTTCCCACACCCCAGCTGTAAGAAAGCAGAGGTTGGCCGAGCGCGGTAGCTCACACCTGTCATCCCAGGACTTTGGGAGGCTGAGGCGGGTGATCATCTGAGGTCAGGAGGCGGGTGATCATCTGAGGTCAGGAGTTCGAGACCAGCCTGGCCAACATGGTGAAATCTCGTCTCTACTTAAAATATAAAAATTAGCCAGGCATGGTGGCACACACCTGTGATTCCAGCTACTCGGGAGGCTGAGACACAAGAATCACTTGAATCTGGGAGGTGGAGGTCCCTACAGGCACGCACCACCATCCCTGACGCCGATCTGTGCACTGATGTGTGTAGAGCAGCATCCCTGGATGCCAGGAGAACTCCCAGCACCCGTGGTGACAACAAAAATGTCCCCTGGAGCAGAATCACCCCTGCACAGTGAGCAACCTGGGGCCAGCGTCTTCCTACAGGAATGGAGATGTCCTTAGGTGCACACGGAGGGCCACATCTCAGTAGCCCAAAGTAAGTGAAATATACATGTAATGTGATAACAAACAGAAATGAAACAACCGAGGGTCGATTGTGGATGATCTTTGCTTCTTAAATTTTTTTTTAAAGTAGTTTCTTTTATTTATTTATTATTATTATACTTTCAGTTCTGGGGTACCTGTGCAGATCCTGCAGGATTGTTACATAGGTATACACATGCCACGGTGGTTTGCTGCCTCCATCCCCCCATCACCTACATTAGGTATTTCTCCTAATGTTATCCCTCCCAATCTTCCCACTCAATTTTTTTTTTTCTCAGCCAGAGCCAGTGGTTCACACCTATAATCCCAGCAACTTGGGAGGCTGAGGAGGGAGGATCACATGAGCCCAGGAGTTGGAGACCAGTCTGGGCAACATAGTAAGATCCTGTCTCTACAAACAATATACAAATTAGCTGGGCATGATGGTGGTGAGTGCCTGTAGTCTTAGCTACTCAGGAGGTTGAGGCAGGAGGATCGCTTGAGCCCAGGAGTTTGAGACAAGCCTGGCCAACATAGTGAGACCCCATCTCCACAAAAAATAAAAAATTAGCCATGTGTAGTACTGTGTATCTGTGGTCTCAGCCACTCAGGAGGGTGAGGTGGGAGAATTGATCACTCAAGCCCAGGAGGTCAAGGCTGCAGTGAGCTATGATCGTACTCCAGCCTGGGCGACAGAGCAAAAGCCTGTCTTTAATAAATAAATAAAGGGCTGGGCTTGGTGGCTGACGCCTGTAATCCCAGCATTTTCAGAGGCCAAGGTGGGCGGATCATAAGGTCAGGTATTCAAGACCAGCCTGGCCAACATGGTGAAACCCCGTCTCTACTAATAATTCAAAATTTAGCCAGGGATGGTGGCGCGTGCCTGTAGTCCCAGCTACTCAGGAGGCTGAGGCAGAAGAATAGCTTGAACCCAGGAGGAGGAGGTTGCAGTGAGCTGAGATCACGACACTGCACTACAGCCTGGGCGACAGAACAAGACTCTGTCTAAATAAATAAATAAATAAATGATGGGAAATTGGGTGTAGGGAATGCGGGAAATTCGTTGTACCAGGCTCACTGGGTTTTTTTGTGCAAATCTGAAACTATTCTAAAATAAAATGTTTCTTTTTCTTTTCTTTTCTTTTTTTTTTTTTTTTTTTTTTTTTTTTTTTTTTTTTTTTTTTGAGACAGAGTCTCACTCTGTTGCCCAGGCTGAAGTGCAGTGGCACAATCTCAGCTCACTGAAATCTCCACCTCTAGGTTCAAGCGATTCTCGTGCCTCAGCCTCCCGAGTAGCTGGAATTATAGGTACCCACCATCACGCCCAGATAGTTTTTGTATTTTTGGTCGAGACGGGCTTTCACCATGATGGCCAAGCTGGTCTCAAACTCCCTACCTCACGTGATCCACCCACCTTGGCCTTCCAAAGTGCTGGGATTACAGGTATAACTACCGTGCCCAGCCAAAACCAAAATAGAGCTGGCAGCTGGGTGTGGTGGCACATTCCTGTAATTCCCAGACTTCAGGGGCTGAGGCAGGAGGATCTTTGGAGCCCAGGAGTTTGAGACCAGCCTGGGAAACATAGTAAGACCCCATCTCTACAAAATATAGCAAATTAGCCAGGGATGGTGGCGCACACCTGTAGTCCCAGCTACGCAGGAGGCTGAGGTGGGAGGATCGCTTGAGTCCAGGCGGTCAAGGCTGCAGTGAGCTGTGACTGCACCACTGCACTCCAGCCTGGGTGACAGGACAAGACTGTCTTAAAAGAAAAGAAAGAAAAAAAAAGAATGGCAGCATGACAGTTTCCATTTGTAATTTTATTGTAAAAGTAATTGTGGTTTCTGCCATTACTTTTAATTAATATAATTAATACCATTACAAATAGTGGCAGGCCAGGCGTGGTGGCTCACACCTGTAATCCCAGCTCTTTGGGAGACCAAGGTGAGCAGATCACAAGTTCAGGTGTTCGAGACCAGCCTGGTTAACATGGTGAAACCCCGTCTCTACTAAAAATACAAAAATTAGCCAGGCGTGGTGTCGGGTGCCTGTAATCCCAGCTACTCAGCAGGCTGAGGCAGGAGAATTGCCTGAACCCAGGAGGCGGAGGTTGTAGCAGGGAGCCAAGATCGTGCCACTGCACCCCAGCCTGGGCGACAGAGCGAGACTCCAAATAAAAAAAAAAAAAGTAATGGCAGAGGCTGGGCGCAGTGACTCATACCTGTAATCCCAACACTGGGAGGCCAAGTCGGGCGGATCACTTGAGGTCAGGAGTTTGAGACCAGCCTGGCTAACGTGGCGAAACCTAAAGTCTCTACTAAAAATACAGAAAGTAGCCGGGCACGGTGGTGGGCATCTGTAGTCCCAGCTACTCGGGAGGCTGAGGCAGGAGAATTGCTTGAACCCAAGAGGCAGAGGTTGCACTGAGCCGAGATCACAACACTGCACTCCAGCCTGGGCGACAGGAGACTCCATCTCAAAAAAAAAAGCGATGGCAGAAACCACAATTACTTTTGCACCAACCTAATGTATAACTACATTATGTATATATTTTAAAATATAAAATAAAATATAGGCCAGATGCCGTGGGTCCCGTCTGTAATCCTAGCGCTTTGGGAGGCCGAGGCGGGTGGATCTCCTGAGGTCAGGAGTTAGAGACCAGCCTGGCCAACATGGCGAAGCCCATCTCTACTAAAAGTACAAAAAATTAGCTGGGTGTGGTGGTGGGCGTCTGTAATCCCAGCTACTCAGGAGGCTGAGGCAGGAGAATTGCTTGAACCTGGGAGGTGGAGGTTGCAGTGAGCCAAGATTGTGGCACTGCACTCCAGTCTGGGCGACAAGAGCAAGACTATCTCTCAAAATAATAAATTAATTAAGTAAAATAAATATATACCACATATATATGTATTTTGCTAAATAGAGATAGGGTCTCGTTATGTTGGCCAGGCTGGTCTTGAACTCCTGGCCTCAAGCAATCCTCCTATCTCGGCCTCCCAAAGTACTGGGATTGTAGGTGTAAGCCACTGCACCTGGTCCACCATTTATAATTTTAAAGGAAAGAGCAACAGACTTTCAGTTTGGAGGGCTGGGACTGTTTGCAGGTACAAAATTTAGGGAGGACACCAATCTGTTATTATTGTTATTATTAATTTTTTTTTTTAATCAGAGTCTCACTCTGTTGCTCAGACTGAAGTGCAGTGGCGTGATCTTGGCTCACTGCAACCTCCGCCTCCTGGGTTCAGGCGATTCTTCTGCCTCAGCCTCCCGAGTAGCTGGGACTACAGGTGCATGCCACTACGCCCAGATAATTTTTTTTTTTTTTTGTATTTTTGGTAGAGACAGGGTTTCACCATGTTGGCCAGGCTGGTCTTGAACTCCTAACCTTGTGATCTGCCTGCCTCAGCCTCCCAAAGCCAATCTATTATAATCCACATTTTACAGCTGCAGAAATCAATGCTAAGAGAGAAAAGTCATTTACTTACGGGTGCTCCACCCGGGCCTCCAACCTGTAGTTCATGAAATCATGACTTCTGACCTGGTCCCAAACTGACCCTAAAGTTTCCAGGCCCAAACAGTGCCTGCTCAAATAAGTCAGCTTAGTCAAATAAGTCAGGCAAACGTCGTGTCTTTGAACCTGGAGTCCTGGCAACGCTGATAGGTCCCTCCTCCTGGGACAAGTTCACCCTTGGACTTTTCAGCAAGATCATCTCCTACCACTTGTTAATTGGTTCTTGGTTCTAAGTGATTTTTTTTGTTTGTTTGTTTAAGAGATGGGTTTCCACTCTGTCACCCTGGCTGGAGTGTAGTGGCACAATTCCAGCTCACTGCAGCCTCAAACTCCTAGGTTCAAGCAATCCTCCTGCCTCAGCCTCCTGAGTAGCTGGGACCACAGGTATGTACACCACCATGCCTGGCTGTAAGTGGCTTTGATGGGGTCCTTTTAGGAAGAGGAATGTTGGAGTGAGGGTCTGGGGGGAGTTCCTTCTGAGAGGCGAGAGGCCTGGGCTCTGGCCTTGACCTTGCCTGCCGTCTAGCCCTGCTGAAAACAAAAAACATGGAAATGGGTGGGGTGTGGTGACTCACGCCTGTAATCCCAGCACTTTGGGAGGCCAAGGCAGGTGAATCACAAGGTCAGGGGTTGAAGACCAGCCTGGCCAACTGGAGAAACCCTGTCTCTATTAAAAATACAAAAATTGCCGGGCGGTGGCTCACGCCTGTATTCCCAGCCCTTTGACAGGCCGAGGCAGCCAGATCACGAGGTCAGGAGTTTGAGACTAGACTGACCAACAATGAGAAACCTACTAAAAATGCAAATCATTAAAAATACAAAAATTAGCCAGGTATGATGGTGCATGCCTGTAATCCCAGCTACTCCGGGAGGCGGAGGTTGCGGTGAGGCAAGTTCGGGCCGTTGCACTCCAGCCTCGGCAACAGAGCAGAACTCCATCTCAAAAACAAAAAAAGGCCGGCGCAGTGGCTCACACCTGTAATCCCAGCACGTCGGGAGGCTGAGGCCAGTGGATCACGAGGTCAGGAATTCGGGATCGGCATGGTCAACATGGTGAAACCCCATCTCTACTAAAAATACAAAAATTAGCCGGACGAGGTGGCGGGTACCTGTAATCCCAGCTTTCAGGAGGCTGAAACAGGAGAATGGCTTCAATCCCGGAGGTGGAGGTTGTGGTGAGCCGAGATCGTGCCATTGCACTCCAGCCTGGGCAACAAGAGCAAAACTCCAAACACACACACACACACACACACACACACACACACACACACACACACGGAAATGGCAGACCCAACAGAATCTGGGCTGCGGTCAGGCTGTGGCTGAAGAAGCTACAAGAAAAATATGCAGCCCCCTTCCTGTGGTCATGCCCAGCAGTTGGACACCAAAAATGGTGCTGATTTCCTGCAGGAAGCCCTGGCTCTCTTAGCCACATGGACAGCAGCTCAGTGCAGCCTGAGTGTGCCCCCCACCCCAGTGTCCGACCCCCACAGCACCCACCCCATCCCAGGCTTCTTCCCTGGATGTCTCCCAGGCCCGTTGGGTTTAGCACATCGCAAATGGAGCCGACTATCTTTCCTCAAAGAAAAATCCTTGTTAGACGGAGCACGATGGCTCATGCCTGTAATCCCAGCATTTTGGGAGGCCGAGGCAGGCAGATTGCCTGAGCTCAGGAGTTTGAGACCAGCCTGGCCGACATGGTGAAACCCCGTCTCTACTAAAAAACAGAAGAAATTAACCTGATGTGGTGGCGTGCACCTGTAGTCCCAGTTATTCAGGAGGCTGAGGCAGGAGAATCCCTTGAACCCGGGAGGCAGAGGTTGCAGTGAGCCGAGATCGCTCCACTGCACTCCAGCTTGGGCGACAGAGCAAGACTGTCTCAAAAAAAATAAAAATGCAGGCCGGGCGCGGTGGCTCAAGCTTGTAATCCCAGCACTTTGGGAGGCCGAGGCGGGTGGATCACGAGGTAAAGAGATCGAGACCATCCTGGTCAACATGGTGAAACCCCGTCTCTACTAAAAATACAAAAAATTAGCTGGGCATGGTGGCGCGTGCCTGTAATCCCAGCTACTCAGGAGGCTGAGGCAGGAGAATTGCCTGAACCCAGGAGGCGGAGGTTGCGGTGAGCCGAGATCGCGCCATTGCACTCCAGCCTGGGTAACATGAGTGAAACTCCGTCTCAAAAAAAATAATAAAAAAATAAAAATAAAATAAATAAAAAAAATAAAAATGCAAATACAAAAAATATTAGTTGGTTGTGGTGGCCCGCACTTGTAGTCCCAGCTACTGGCGAGTCTGAGGCGGGAGAATCAGTTGAATCTGGGAGGTAGAGTCTGCAGTGAGCTGAGATTGCACCATTGCACTCCAGCCTGGGTGACAGAGTGAGACCTTATCTCAAAAAGAAAGAAAGAAAGATCCTCACTATTATCTTCCCATCCATCTGTCCTGAGCCACAGGCCTGGCAGGTGGTGTGTGCATCCATTGAGCACCTACTGGATACCAAAGCGCTTTACTGGCACCTCCTCCCTCGCCCGTCCTGGAGAGGCTGGCCCTGTTATTGTTCCTTTACAGATGAAGAAGCAGGCTCAGAGAGTTTACCTGGCATCCTGGAGTTGCAGGAGCACTTTTTCTGGAAGTAGGAGCCCGTTTCCTGCCGGTGCCAGGACAGAAACCAATATTGTTTGTTGGCTGGGGCGTCCCCTGGTGGCCCAATGCAGAACTGCAACCTGGTCCGTGTATGCCTGTGGGGTCTCCCAGCTTCCGGCTGGCTCCAGTCTCACCTCCTGTTCACACACCCTCCATGGCTCCCATAGTCCCCTCGGTGGGGACAGGGGCACTGAATGAAGCCCTGCTCATCACCACGGAGACACCTGAACGCAAAACCTCATCTCTAGGGTCAGGCCCAGTCCCTGCCCCCACTCCACCACTCAACTGTGTAACCTCAGTTTCCCCAGGTGAGGACTGGACCAGCGATCATGGCCTCTGCCTCTTCAGGTCATGGTACAGATGAATGCAGGCTGGCATGGCCTAGGCACCCAGTAACTCACAGGAGAGGTGCAGGGACTTGAGATGGAGTGTCCCAGGCAGCCACAGCTTCCCTACTACAGGAGGTCTGGCTGGCACCCAGTTGGGAAGGGCCCAAGGCCTTTTAAAGCAGGTTTAAAAAAAAGCCCATCTCCTCTCTGGGAAACTGAAACTAAGCCTAAGAATCCTCTGCCTGTAGGTGCCCGCCCCCCGGAACCGCTGCTAAGGGTGCTTCCTGGAACTTGCTATTGGTCAGGAGGGCTTCTATGCTAATAACCACGAGGCCCGCCGAAGATTCCAGCACCCTCCTCTAACTCCAGGCCAGACTCCCTCCAGCTATTGGGGAGATCTCGATGGCACCTCCTTTGTTTCACTATCCCCTAGTGCCCATGGATGACTTTCTGAAGCATGAGAGGAGGGAGCGCTGTAAGCTTCTAGTGGGGATAGTTGTGGTGCTCCTTGTCATAGCGGTTGTGGCTTTGGGGGTGCTCCTGATCATCTATGTCACAAGGGCCAACAGTGAGGACTGCCAGGCGGGCCACCGGGCAGTGATGGAGTGTCGAAATGTCACCCATTTCCTGGAACAACAGCTGACCCGGGCCCAGGACGGCTTCCGGGATGCTGAGGCCCAGGTCGTCACCTACAACCAGACTGTGGTAAGCATCCCAATTCCTTTGGATGGCCTAGTGCTGGGGGGCGGGGAGCCGAGAAACTCTCCCCAGAAATCTGACACAGGGTGGGTCTTCAGGGAGATGCAGGGGAGGTCTTGAAACTGTTCCTGGATCCCCACGTCAAGAGACCTAGGTTTACCTATCAGGGTTTGGGGCCTTCTGACCCAGCCCGGGACACTGGTGTAGGGGCAAGGGGTTAAAAGTCCCCAGAGCCCCCAAATCAGGGACCTCAGTATCCCCACTGGGACTTAGGTAAAGTTATAAATTCCTTCCAGGGCGCTGGTATGGGGGGGCTTGAAACTCCTCGTGGGCACCAGTCCTGGGGGAGTAGGAATCCCTGTTCAGGGTTGAATGGGGACCTCGCCAGACTCTGAAAAAGGAGGCTCTTGAAATTTCCACTTCATCCCCGAGAAACTGAAATCTATTCACCCAACTCCCGATATGGGGGCTCTTGAAACTGTCACTGGGCATGTCACTTGGGCTGGGAAGTCCCACTGCGTTCTGGATTTGGTAGGGCCCTCTAACTTTTCTTGGGCCATCTGGAAATGTCTACTAAAGTTTGGTTATCTAGAGCCTCCAAGTTGCCATATGGAGGGGGGACTTACACGCATATGGGTGGCGCTGGGTGACAGTGTGGCTGTTCTTCAAGTTTAAAGATCACGGTTCAGAAGAGGGTTGGAAGAAAACCTGAAAAGCGTTTGCCTTTAAGCCCCAGGACCTAGGGAGGAGGTCCAGGTCCCAGGGGCAACAGCCCAGGGCCAGAACTCCAGATTCTGACCCTTCCCTCTGTCCTAGATGACCCTAATGGCTTCCCTGGATAAGGAGAAGGCCCATTCCCTGGATGCGGAGAAGAAAGTGGAGGAGCTTGAGGGTAAGGAAGAGGGAAGGGAAGGGGCTAGGGAGGGGTAAGTCAGGAATGGAAGAGAGGGTGGGGGCAGGTAGACCAGAGTTGGAGGTTGGGGTAAGGGGGAGATCCTGGCCGGGCGCGGTGGCTCACGCCTGTAATCCTAGCACTTTGGGAGGCTGAGGTGGGTGGATCACCTGAGGTCAGGAGTTCAAGACCAGCCTGGCCATCATGGTGAAACCCCATCTTAAAAAAAAAAAGGGGGGCGGAGGTCCTGTCCCAGAGTGGGGCAGGGCCAGAGCCTGACCACGTGCTGACTCGCCCCTGATTGTGTTCTCACACTCCACCAGGAGAGATCACTACATTGAACCAGAAGCTTCAGGACGCCTCTATGGAGGTGGAGCGATTGAGGTCAGAGATAACCTTACCCTCTGCTACCCTCCACCCGCCACACTCCTCTCACCCCCGCATTCCTACCCTAAGACCGAGGATCTCCTTGGCTCCCAAAATCCCCATTGCCCCAAGGGGTAAGGTTTGAGTCCCACAAAAGGACAACTTAGCCCCTAGGGTCACAGAGCCCTGGGTGGCGGCCGTCCATTCCCTCCTCAGGGACTTGGATTGGGGCGGTGCGGGGGGAACTCCGGGGGGCGATGGACTTACAGGGAGGGCGGCAGGAGCCCGGTGGGGCAGCTGCCTGATTTGCCCCTGTCTGTACCGCAGGAGGAAAAACCAGGACTTAAGCGCGAGAATCGCGGAGCAGGACTCCGCCAGCTCCCTGAAGGACACCAGCTCCGCGGCGGCGCCCCTGCTCCTGATTCTGCTGCTGGGCCTCGGCGCTCGGCTCCTCTGAGATCCCGGGAAGCCGGTCAGTGAGAAGGGGGCGGCCCCGGGAGGGAGAAGAAAGCTGGGGAAGGGGAACAGGGAAGCAGGGACTTCGAGGTCTAGAAAGCGTGGCTGCAGGGGAGGGGACTGGGCTCAGAGGAGAGGGGTCTTGGGGAGGGAAGGGGAATCCAGTGAGAAGAGAAGGGTGCCCCGGAGCGGGGCGGGGCTTACAGCTGAACGGGGCGGGGCTATCAATGGGAGGGAAGGGGAATCCAGTGAGAAGAGAAGGGTGTCCCGGAGCGGGGCGGGGCTTGCAGCTATGTGGGCGGGGCCATCAATGGGGGCGTGTCTATCGACGGAGGGCGGTGTATATAAATGGCGGGGGGGCGGGTCTATCGATGGGGGCGGGGCCAGTGTCTGCTTCCTCGAGTCGGCCCTTAGTGTCTCTTCTGGTCCTTCAGGCACAGCTTGGAAGGGCCGGTTCCTGCTCAGCTTTTCGCTTGGATAATCCCGTGATCTCATCGGTTCTGGGAGGGTCATGGGGCAGCAGGTCTGGAAGGGCCCTGGGGCAGTCCTGGGTGTGGGGACACAGAGCTGCCTCCCTCCAGAGCCGGGCAGGGAATGATTCCCTCCTCTTGTCTCCCGCCCTGAGTTTGGGCATGGGGTGCGGTAGGGTGGCACCTGCTGCCTAATACGGTTTCTTTTGGGGGGGAGGTGCTTTTTTCTGGAGTCTTTGAGCTCCAAAAATAAACGCTTCCTTTGGGGGTGCACACCTTACTTGAGTTCCTGGAGTGTCATTGTGTTAGTCCCCAAGCGTCTGGGGCCTCCCCTGCAGGTGACGGTGGATCCCCGTTGACGTCAACACCTCGCCTTCCCTGCCCCAGGGCATTTTCAGGAGCCCACGGAGTTCGGGCAAGCACCACCCCAGTTCCTCCCAGCCCTCTTCTCTGCTGGGATCCACGTAAGGATGGACTACGCACCCTCATCAGGACTCACCCTTTTCCCGGTGTTATTTTCTCATTTCCTCCCTACAGCCTTTCCTGATGCTTGGGGCTCCAGGGAGGAAACTGAGGCTGTATCTGAGAGAAACCTTGTCTTGCTTCCCTCCCGCCTGCAGAAAATGCTGGGCTGGGATTTAAACCGGGATCTGTACACACATAGAGGCGATAACTTCGTCAGAAATTTCCCCCTCCTTCATCCCCCAAACTCTCTTTTTCTTTTTTGAGACAGAGTTTCACTCCTGCTACCCAGATTGGAATGCAATGGCGCAGTCTCGGCTCACCACAGCCTCTGCCTCCTGGGTTCGAGTGATTCTCCTGCCTCAGCCTCCCCAGTAGCTAGGATTACAGGCATGCACCACCATGCCCAGCGAATTTTTTTGTATTTTTAGTAGAGACACAGTTTCTCCATGTTGGTCCGGCTGGTCTCGAACTCCCGACCTCAGGTGATCCACCTGCCTCGGCCTCCCAAAATGCTGGGATTACAGCCATGAGCCACCATGACCAGCCCCCATTTTTTTTTAAACAGAATTTTTCGGCTGGGCACAGTGGCTCGCGCCTGTAATCCCAGCACTTTGGGAGGCCGAGATAGGTGGATCACGAGGTCAGGAGTTCAAGACCAGCCTGGCCCACATGGTGAAACCCCATCTCTATTTTTGGAAAAAAAAAAAAAAAAAAAAGAATTTTTCTCTGTCGCCCAGGCTGGTGTAGAGTGGCGAAATCTCGACTGACTGCAACCTCTGCTTTCTGGGTTCAAGTGATTATCGTGCCTCAGCCTTCCGAGTAGCCGGGATTACAGGACTGCACCACCATACCCAGCTAATTTTTGTATTTTTACTGGAGACTGGGGTTTCATCATGTTGGCCAGGCTGGTCTCCAACTCCTGACCTACCCACCTTGGTCTCCCAAAGTGCTGTGATTACAGACATGAGCCATCGCACCCGGCTCCATTCGCCAAACTCTTACTCATTCTGCAGTACCCAGCCCTGGGAACCCCTCCCCCAGAGAGTCTCTCTGCTTCTCCACAGCTGAGGGCTGCAATCCCAACAGACCTTTTGCCTACCTTGTTGGTCCTCGAAGGCCCCATAGTCACTTCCCTCTCTGTTATCTTCCTTCCTCCAAGTTCTCTCGGAAGCCCAGCTATTGTTTCTGCAACTGCAACTTCCTGTTTGCAGTAATGGGGCCAGAAGCCCCTTGTCCCAGACTTCTGCACTGTCCTCAGTCCCATAGTCCCTGGCCCAGATGGTCAGCGGGATTCAAAAAAAAAAAAAGCCGGCCAGCCGCAGTGGCTCATTGGCTCATGACTGTAATCCCAGCACTTTGGGAGGCCAAGGCGGCTGGATTACAAGGTCAAGAGATTGAGACCATCCTGGTCAACATGATGAAACCCCGTCTCTACTAAAAATACAAAAAAAATTAGCTGGGCATGGTGGCGCATGCCTGTAGTCCCAGCCACTTGGGAGGCTGAGGCGGGAGAATTGCTTGAACCCAGGAAGCGGAGGTTGCGGTGAGCTGAGATCGTGTCATTGCACTTCAGCCTGGGTGACAAGAGCGAAACTCCGTCTCAAAAAAAAAAAGCCCTCTGGCCAGTCACAGTGGCTCATGCCAGTAATCCCAGCACTTTGGGAGGCCAAGGCTGGTGGATCACTTGAGCTCAGTTCGAGACCAGCCTGGCCAAC